TGATCTCCTATGTCCTGAAGAAACACGACACATAAAGAAAGAGAGAGAGAGTCTATTCGCTTGTATTGTGAGATCCTGTGTATGATGATATTCCAGACCACTTTCAAGTAATGGTGATGGTTTGTGTTCATTTTTCTTCATGAGGTAGTTTATAATGGCATATCTTCCAGTGCAATTATTTCCCTACCCTGTCCTGCGTATATTTAAATTAATCTGGGTACCCAAATTAATCTGGGTACCCAAATATTAAATCACCAATCCTTTTCCTCAGCGTTTGTACAAAAGTGACATTTTAGATGTGTTCAATTTAATATCTTCCCCATAAGAGTTTATTGTCAAATATAATGTTGACAGGCGAGAATGAACCCCTTCATTATTATTAATATTATTATTATTATAGATATTGGCTTGACAATTTTGTTAATACAAACAGAATTGTATATGCATTTATTATATAAATGAATTTGAAAAATACGCTGCAAATTATTTTGACATATAAATGCACCTGGAAATTATTTTATTGTATAAATTTATAGGGAATCATTTTCTCATTGACCAGTTTGGAATTTTTTTTTTTCACTATAGAAATGTATTGCAGATTATTTTCATACAGGATTCAAATGGAATTATTTTAACAGAGAAGTGTAATATAAATCAGAGGAATTTATGCAACGATATTAATTAAGAAGCTGACTAAGATCGAACTCACTGCAGATTTATTAGTCTTTGGGAACATTCGACTAGCACGTGTTCCACAGTATGCCTCTCTCTCTCTCCCTCTCTCTCTCTCTCTCTCTCTCCTCTCTCACACAAACACACTATATACATATATATATGTATATGTGCGTGTCTCTGTGCGCGCGCATGCATGTGTGTGTGTGTGTGTGTGTGTGTGTGTGTGTGTGTGTGTGTGTGTGTACGCACGCTCCAGTAATAAATTTTACACCGCGACTTTTCCTGTAAGAAAAAAGAAGCAGCAGCTGACAAAGGGGCGGGAAAATTAACAAACAAAAAAAAAACTATAATAAAATAAAAATTTAAAATGAAATCAATGAACCATATTGAAAAGTATAGTAACTTCCGGGAACAAATCCTAAAAAAAAAAATTCATGAAAACAAAGGATTCAATAATAATAATAATAATAACAATAACAATATTAATAACAATAATAATAATAATAATAATAATGTTAACGTTAACAGTGATTAACAGTAATATGAACTATAAGAGGCAGTCAAGTATAATTAAGTTTGTCGAAAATACAACAAAAGCTTAACGTTCGTTAACCAGCTGTCTTCTGCGCGGGCTTAAGAGCAGGGCTGGGAAAAAGGAGTGTATTACGAAAACAACGTCTCCGGATTCACACGTGAATTCTAACGCCGAACTTAGATGCGCATATACGGTTTGTGATGAGCAAGAAGCATTGTCTATTAGGTCAAAAACGAACGCCTTCTTGTGTCTTTCGAGGCGAGGTGGGGGTGAGGGTTTCTCTTTTTTTATTGGTAGTCACCCAGAAGACACGCAGGAATGCTGAATGAGATGTGTGATATGAAATTAAGAGGAGAAAGTATAAAGTGAATATTATGAAGATATAGAAGACACATAACGATTGGCCCTTATCTTGAAGAGGTTAACTTTGTAAAGTTCTGAGTCTGTTCAACAAAGCAGTCGCTCTTATTTTACTCGCTTTGGGCGCGGTATGCATTCGTTGGCTTGGAAATTGATTTCTGCCATGAAGCAAAAGGATTCCATCAGTTGGTCCGATCGGCGAAGAGTGCATTTAAGATAGTGGTGCCGGGCTCTTGTTCACTTTACGTTTGATTTGACTTTGCCTTTATACCGCCTCTTGGCTGGCTTTGATCCAGTATTCTGTAGAACAACTGACGCGCCATTATGATCATATGGCTGGCCAATACGTTGTTAGTAATATAAATAAAAACCTGGAAAACTATTAATAATTATATAAATAACTTGGTGTTCATCAAAATATATATTTATCCTATAGGAGGAAATGGTATAACAAAATGGAATGGATGACTAATTAATTTGTTTGTTCAACAACATATCAACTCTTTATGGGTCATTTAATTTCAAAATATAATATTTTCTTGAGAGCTTTCGAGTTATACATGGTAGATAATACTCAACTTTTGTGCATATATATGTTTGTGTGAACACATTTACTAGAGACAGGGATATGTGTGTTTTGTGTTGTAGTTTTGTTGAAGTTATATTTTGAAATACAATTTGATTTTTAAAAACAATTATAGGATATTATATGAATTAATGTCATGAAAGTTCTTTCATGCTAATATGAAGGTTTTACTTTCGTTCTTGATAACCCTTCAAGGTATGTGGTATTTAAAAATCCCGAATGAGTAATTACTTATATTAATAAATACTTATACCATTTGGGGAATTCGTTAAGCTTTTGTCACTATGAGTCTAAAACCCAAGCTCATTTTAAACTAGGTTATTTCAAGTTTAATAACATGTTTTCATCTTTGTTTTAATTCACTTTTCCTATTACTGTATCAGTGCTAATGAAATTTTGGTTCAAGTCATCTATATACTCCCAGCTCTCTTTGATAATATTAGGGTATCTGTATTTCGAACATAAATTACTTTATGTAACATTAAGATCACTAAATTGATTTTCATTTTCTAGCCAATAAGAAAAGAAGTAAAAATTCCTGTCCAATAAACAATTCATTTGAATAGTCTTCGGGTTCCTGTTAGTATTTCTAAATAAATATCAACTTACAATTTTTTTTAATCGATTGGTTTTCTTTCGAGATTATACAAAAGGTATCCATGAGCCGTATTTTCCTATTTTTCACTTACTTGTTCTATATGCTGTAACACACCAGTATGTTAGTGATCATGACTGCCCACAACTTCCTGTCGTTTGTAGCTTCTAGTAAAGCCAGCCTTTTTGCTATATCTCCTTCGAAAACCAGGTTAGCATATATATATTGAGATATATAGGACACTACCTAGGCTGGACAGAAGGGCTTCTTTTCACTTTTTTTCACTACCTTTTTTAGCAGTTCTTATAGTTTCCTTTCTCTGTCTGCTATCAACACTAGTATTTCTAAATTATTGTAAAAATGACTATTCAGTACAAGTCATTCATGAACGTTTTAATTTCTTCTTTCTTATGACGAACTTTTGTTATCGTCTGCCTTAATCTTATGTCTATGCTACGCACAAATAGTTCATTTGTAGCTGATGTATTTTTCACATACACGTATAGAAAGAGAATGGGTGTTCAAGCATGCAATAAATATTAACTAAACTTTATTCTGCTTGCTACTTTGTGCAGACATTAGTTGACACAAAACAAAATTCAGTTCATATAACTGTATATTATGACAAAGTTAAACTCAAACGATCCAATTACTCATTGTTGCGTTGCTCGGTAACATTGTATTCACGCTTTGTTCAAGGTGTTGTCCAGTTTATTATTTATGAAAAAAATGCATATCTATTTTCTTGTCTCTAGTTTTTCTGCCGCTAATTCCCGAAGCTGAATTAAAGTAGATGTATCTATAAAAACATCTTCTGGATGAAATAGCAACCAACTTAAACATTTGTTAAATATAGTCATTATATCGGTGTTTTAAATTGGGCACTGGGGCGATTGAATATCAACATGGCCAATATCATTATTATCGTCAACCGCTTCAACATTTTGGGGTGAGGTGAGTTGTTCATACCCAGAGACGTCAGCATCGACGCTGCAAGTTGGTCAATAAAATTTTCCATTCTCACTGGGATTGGAACTAGAGCATTATCAGTAGAATCATTTTCCGTTAAAAAGAACTTTCCCCGTGAATTACGAATCGTTTCCGATTATATCAAACATTGATTATGGTTTTCTAAATTCTCAAACGTTTTCTCTGAGATTAAATATAAAAATGTGTTTAATTCGGATAATTTAGTTGATTTCAATTTCTCTTTATATCACGTCCGGATAATAGAAGTCCGGAAAATTGTGGTATGGTTAATCAAGGAAGGAATCTACATATTTTTTTTCAATTTAAATGACGCCCAAAATTTTCACATTTAAATAGAATGGAAAATATTTAATGAACGCGGATGTATGTTTCATCCTGGTGGTATATCGACCATTAGAATTCTTTTGTGTTTATACATCCTGAAAGTAACTCTGTTATTTAATTTGCTATATTTCATAGGTGGTTGGTATTAAGGAAGATTAAAATTGCCAGCTTTTCTTCCTGGAACAATCTACAAATTCTGCGTAAATTATATATTTCTTTTTGTTTCATTTTGTTCCACTTTATATTCGGGATTCTTTCCCCTTTCTTTCACTTCCCAAATGTATTTAGACAGAGGAGCGTTTTCGTTTTTTTTTTTGTTTGTTTGTTTGTTTTTTTGTTTGTTTGTTTGTTTTTTTGTTTGTTTGTTTGTTTTTTTGTTTGTTTGTTTGTTTTTTTGTTTGTTTGTTTATAATTGCGGATCCAAAGACTTTTTATGATTTTGCAATTTGCAGGAACTTCGCAAAAAACCAATAAAGTTTTATTTGGAAATAATTATCATCCCAGATTTTTTAAACGCCAATATGAGTTCCTTGTTTATGATAATTTCCATTGATTCCTTCACTTATGACATTTTTCTAAACCCCCACCTGTGCACTTGAATTTCCAATATCTTCAATGCGATTTCAGATTTTTTTTTTTTTTTTTTTTTTTGGTTGACTGATTGATTTGTTTTTTACGACTTATCAACCTAATTCGAGTTTTTTAAAGTCAAAAAATATTTTTAGATTGTAAGAATTTTTGGGAGATAATAATTGTTTACTGAGACAAATCATACTAATTAATCCATAGCTGGAGGGAGCTGGAATCATAGCATTCCCAAGGCTACTTGCGCATAAGTGAGCGTAATGAATCCGACTGAAATTAGAACTCGGCACTCCGATTTACAATTCCGAGACATTATCTATTACATTACTCGCACATCCAAGCTTAAAGTA